TTTCATTCTGCTTTTCTTTTCAGCTCACTACTTAGTTTTTGCAAATCTTTTAATCTTTCCTTCTATGAAAGAATTAAGCACTGATTACCTCAGGCATGCTCTGTATATACCCATTTGACTCATCTCCTTAGTGTTCAGGCTGGTAATTGTTATGTACTTTTCCAGGGAGGTAATTGAAAAAATAGTCGCTCAAATCATTTTCTGTGTCATGTAATTTATATGAGGAACCCTGATTGAGAAAGGCCATTGGAAATGACATACATATTGGACCATTTGAGCTTCCTTGATTCCCATTTGTGATTGGCAAGAACCATGAAGTTACATCTCCATTTATAATGTCATTTAGTCGTGATTTATCTAGGCTTCCTTACATTAGATAATTTAGAATGCCCAGTTTTAAGTAGTAGGGAAGATATTTAACAGCATTATTTCTTCTAGCCTATTGATATTATTATAGATTCGCTTATCTTATTAGCTATTTCTCTCATTATCATTGAAGAGTAAAATGTTATCTGATCAATAGTCAGGATTTGTAACCAAATCCTATATGTAACCAATGAAAAAGAGCTGCAGGAAAAAAATCCTACATAAGTATTTCATAAAAATGGGATTGCCAGAAAATAAATTTCAAAATTTTTATTTTTTACAAAAGTCATCTAGATTATTATTTTAAAAAATCCTTAAATCAGGATGCTATTCAGTAGTTCTAAGGTGAGGCCCAGGAACATGGGTTATAACGAATGCACAGATGTTTCTGCTGCAAGCGAATGATGATTTATTTTAAGAAAACTTGAACTCTTTTTCCTGTCCTGATATAACTTTGGGTGTTATATTAGTAGCAGTAGCTTCTATTCACCCAATTTTTCTGATATGTCTTTGAATCCAAGAGTCTATCTGCATTCAATTGCTGTTTTTAAACTATTAATATAAAGTAGATGACATTATCCAAAATAACTCCTTTTTCAACTAAAATAAACAATCTTTTCAGTATGTCTTAGCACACTACTTTTATTGATTTTCTTAATAGAAGGTTGATAAATATTGTTGAATGTTAAATCTTTGAATTAGAATAGGTAGCTTCGGCTATCATGCATCAAATTCTTTTTTCCAAGTATAAAACTTAAGCAAACAATAAGCAACCTGCCCAAGATCTCACATCAATTAGTCAAAATAAACTAGTTATTCTGTTACCTGTTACTCTGTTTGTAAAAAGAACCATCTGAGTGCCACTTCTGACCATGATAGACTAACTGATACTAGACTAGCCTCACATCAAAAACAACAGTAAAATTAGATCAAATATAGAAGCCTCTCTTTTCAGACATTAGTCGGTAAGCATCTCAGGTTTGTGATAATTGAGAAGAAGGTAAACAAGTAATCCAAGCCACAAAGCAGACCCACAAAAACCCTGAATTTTCTAGGGCCACAGTGCACAGAAGAGGAACCTGAGCTAGTGGCAGAGCTACTGCATTGAGGAGACAGATACCAGAGTCATGGGCTGCTGAAGTGGCCAGAATGTGCAGGATGAGGACTTCAGAAAAGGGGACTATGAAAAGAGGAGCCTCCAGAAATCTGATTCACATAGCTGAGGGCCTGGCTGAATATGTATTGCACAAAATTCCACAAGGCCTAGAAGAGATCACATACCACAGGGCTGAGAATGATACAAGAGATTACGCAGAGCTGGGATATTTTGAAATTGCAGCCTTGGCAGAGCAAAGATCTCAACACACACCATAAGTAATCAGTGGAGATCCAGAAAAGCCATGCCTAAGAGGTAAAAGCCATAGCCTGCAAGGAACATGCTGTAGAACTAAGCTAAAATTTAAAATAGATCCAATTCTAAAAAACTAAAATAGGTACAACAGGTCAAAAATGATTGCTCAATAATTTAATTGCCTGTCAAAACCAAACTCTACATTCTTTACAGGGAGACATTGTAATCTAAACTTCTTGCTAAACGTTATTTTAATTTCAAGCATAATAAAAATTGCTAGAGAATGAAGGGCTATGAATGTGATTCATAGTGAAGAGAAAAATGGACCAATAGAAAAGACTACAAGATGATCCAAATGTTAAAACTTGAAGACAAGGATGTTAAAATAGATATTACAAATCAACTCATGCTGGGTAACAGACTTGAATGTTAGGTGTGAAACTATTAGAATTCTAGAGGAAAATGTTGGAAGTACTCTTCTAGACATTGGCCTAGGCAAAGAATTTATGAAGAAGACTCCAAAGGCAATCACAGCAGCAGCAAAAATAAATAAATGGGACCTGATCAAAGAAACTGTCAAGAGAGCAAACAGACAACCCACATAATGGGAGAAAATTTTTGCAAGCTACACATCTGATAAAGGGCTGATAACTAGAATTTATTTAGAACTCAGGAAAATCAGCAAGGAAAAATCAAACAACCTTATCAAAAAGTGGGCAAAGGACATGAACAGAAATTTTTCAAAAGAAGACAGAATAAAGGCCAACAAACATATGAAAAAATGCTCAACATCTCTAATCATCAGGGAAATGCAAATAAAAACTGCAATGAGATGTCACTTATCTCCAGTAAGAATGGCCTTTATCAAAAAGTCCCCAAACAATAAATGTTGGCGTGGATGCGGAGAGATAGGAACACTCCTACACTGCTGGTGGGACTGCAAACTGGTTCAGCCTCGGTGGAAAGCAATATTGAGATACCTTAAAGCGATACAAGTAGATCTACCATTTGATCCAGCAATTCCACTACTGGACATCTACCCAAAAGATCAAATGACACTCTACAAATGGGACACCTGCACTCGAATGTTTATAGCAACACAGTTCACAATTGCAAAGGTGTGGAAACAACCCAGGTGCCCATCAATACATGAGTGGATTAATAAAATGTGGTATATGTATACCATGGAGTACTATTCAGCTTTAGGAAACAATGGTGATATAGCACCTCTTGTATTTTCTTGGATAGAGCTGGAACCCATTCTACTAAGTGAAGTATCTCAAGAATGGAAAAACAAGCACCACATGTACTCACCAGCAAATTGGTATTAATGGATCAACACCTAAGTGGACATATAGAAATAACATTTATCCGGTGTCAGGCAGGTGGGAGGGGGGAGGAGGGGATGGGTATATACAAACATAATAATTGAGACATGCAACGTCTGGGGGATGGTCATGCTTGAAGCTCTGACTCAAGGGGGGAGGGAGGCATGGGCAATATAGGTAACCTTAACGTTTTTACCCCCATAATATGCTGAAATTTAAAAAAAAAGAAAGAAACAGAAACTACAACAACAAAAAATAGATTGTCTCCAAAAAAAAATAAATAAATACAAACTATGTTTGAAAGCAAAAAAAATGTATTCAGGGACTTAAAGGAAAATATTATCATAATGAATGAATGTGGGTGTCAGCAGAGAAATTGAAAATATTAAAAACAATAAAGGTGAAAAGTCTATAATGGAATTACAAAACCCATAATAAAAAAATGTATTGGGTAGAATTACCAGCAGATCAGAGAGAGCAAAAAAAAATTGTCAGTGAACGTGGAGATATATGAACAAAAATAACCCAACATGAAAACACAGATTAAAACTGATTGAAAAGGTAAATAGACTTATGTGACAATACCAAGTGGAGTGTCAAAAGGAGAAGATAGTTAAGGATACACATTATAATATCAAAAGAAACAATTAAAAATGCAGAGATATAACTACAAAGGCAATAGAAGAAGAAATGTTGAATTAAATTTTTTATTAGCCCCAAATAAGAGAGGAAAAAGGAATAGACAAACAACAATAACAATATGGGTGGAACAAAAAGAGTACAAATAGCAAAATGGTATATACTGAGATTCAACAACATCAATTATTATAGTACATGTAAGTGGATTTCCAAGAATGAAGGATGATTCTTCATTGGTAAATCCTTTAATAAAGTCAAGCATTATGATATTTAAGGAGGAAAAACTCATATAACTATTTTTATAGATGCTGAAAACCTTTGAAAATTATAAGATTTACTTCTTAGGACATAATTTAAAATACAGAATTGAAGTGCATTTTCTTATAATAATATATGTGAATGTGAATTATATGCTATATTATTATATGAACATATGCATATTTAATATACATTATGATATATTTTAGTTTTGTAGAGTATTCTGCAAATTGTGTGTATCCTTGATTACCCAGAATACTTATTAGACTGACAACCGGCTTAATATTTATGCTTATTCTGTGGCCAATTTTACCTCCAGTTGGGGTTATCCCATTAGATAGATGGTATAAAATTTGTCCTTTCCTTTAGCTGACTGATCAAGGATACCACCTAATTCTTGCAAAGTCAGCCTCAACTCAAGAATGGGTTGTCATGGATGATAGCATTGGCCCAGAATTCCTCCTCATTGGTCAAAGTAGGGTCTGTAGAATGGCTAACACATCCTGCTTTACCTGGTTTAATGCTTTGAGTCTAGTGGAAAAGTCAGTATAGAAATGTAAAGAGAAATCCACTCGATGTTTTGATGTAGACCCTGACGGTTCTGGAGATTTTTTCTACTGTCTGGATGGTTGAGATCAGTGCCTCAGGGCAGCCTCATCTTGCTATTTGTAGTTTGGTAGTAGCCTTAATTAAATGTTGTGTGAGACAAATTGAATGGATTTGGTTCTAGCCTGTTTTGGTCAAAATAATCAGAGTGGCTGATGGAATGGTATACTCATGTGCACATTTGCCAGAAGGCAAATCATTGTAAAAATGAGGGGTAGATATTGTTGAGAGACAGTTCTCAATAGATCTCCCCATTTCTGCATGTCTTGAGAGCAGATGTAATAATGGCTCTTTTGTTCTGGATGTTTGTACATCAAATAGTCTTGAAAGAGAGAGACAATGTTACAAAGATAATGCCTTCATCCAGAGCAGGCACGTTTGCTTTAGCCCATTAAAAAAGATTCAAGTTCTCTGGGCTCAAGGTTCTTCAGTTGTAATGCAAACCCACTGCCTGTGCTGCATGGCTCTGCATTGCTTCTGGGAAACTTGGGGGACTAGCAGAACTGACTCCTAGCAGGTGAGCATGCTCATATTTCCTGCCACACTGTGTGCAGTGAATTTCTTTCTTTTTCTTTTTTTAAGGAACCAAGAGTCTTATGTTTTCTGCTAGCATTCATTAAACTACAGCAAGACAATTTGTTAGCTTGCAAGTAGTCTAAAATCTCAGATCCTTCAAAGTTCTTGACACACAGATATGGGAAAGAACCCTAAAATCATATACAAACAGAAATAAATGAACTGAACTGTATTTCCAATGAATTAACTTTGCCACACAGTTAAGGAAGTTGGGGGAAGAACTAACCAAAGTAACTTTTTTCAACATAATATAATATTTGGACTGTGCACTCAGGATGAGGAGAAAGAGAACTCTGAACAATAGTAAATTATTAGAGGATGAATTATTTTTCACAGAGGCCTGGATTAGCAATTCTGAAACTATTTTATGTGTATTCTAGGACTAAGCAAATAAATAGATATGTTATGGATACTGAGAGCCAGTTTTATGACTTTTAAAAGTAGTTAAAATTTAATAGAAAGTTACTGAAATTAAAGTATCAGTGTGAACTTATAAGTTTTAATACAGGCATATGATAGACAAATTGATATAGATACATGTGCATGTTTATATGTATGTGGAGATACATACATTTATGAAAATGAAAGCATGTTGTTTCCATGTAAATATGTCATTACTTTCATAGCTCTGTTCCTGAGAGGCCCAGACACAATGCTGTCCCACTAGTAATGAGCATATCTGGCATCCATAGCTTGATTTCTGAATGTCATTCTCCAATAGAAAGGACATAGGGACCCATGATGTAATAGGTAACACCAGGATTTGCACAATATATAAGGGGATTAAAATAATACACTGCTTTAGCTGCATCCTACAAAGTGGTTAAATTTTTTAAATAATTGTGTATTTTTGTTAAATTTCTTACTTGATCTTTGGTTATTGAGAAGTATACTAATTTATAAATACCTCAAATTATTGTTATTATTGATTTCTAGTTTAATTTCCTTTAGTTCCATTATGGTCAGAAAACATACTTTGCTAGGTTTCAATCTTCTCATGTTTCTTCATGTTTTCTCTAAATCTTACAATAAATGTATTTATCTTATTACCATTTACCTTTAAATAATATTATAGCATTGCATGTATCTTTTGCGATATTGCTGCCATGCATGTTAGTTCCTCCTATACTTCCATCCTTACATTATTGTTATTTTGTTTAGCCAATATATAATAATTAAAATATATAATAAATGAAAAAAGTTTAAGTCACCCATATATTTACCATTTGTGATGTTTTACAATTTCTTCTGTACATTCAAATTTCCATTATTCTTCCTCCTAAAGAACTTCCTTTAATATTTCTTATGTAAGGCTGCTGGCAATAATTTCTTTCAGCTTTTGTTTGCCTGAAAAAGTCTTTATTTCCTCTTCAGTTTTGAAATATATTGTTTCTGGATAAAGAAAATGCTATTAATAGCATTTCCTCTCAAAGAAGATGTCCCTAGATTATTTTCTAGTATGCATAGTTTCAAGCAAGAAGTCTACTGTCATTCTTGTCTGTGTTCCTCTGTACATATTGTATCTTTTTTCTCTTGCTGATCTTAACTTCTTTATTTTCTTTTCTGTTCTTTTTGTCAGATTAATTCATTGTACCTCTGTGTGTTTTTCTTTGTGTATTTTTCTATTTTGTTTAGGGATTGTTGAGCTTCTTTGATCTGTGGGTTTGTAGTTTTTACCAAATTTGCAACATCTTTGGTGACTATTTCTCAAATATATTTTTGCCTTCTCTTCTATTCTCTTATTCTAGTATTCTGGATATACATACACTGGATTCCCTGATAGTGACGTACTGGTTGTAATTGTTTTGTTGATTTTTTTAGTCTCTCTCCATCTATCTCTTTTTGTCTCTCTCCTTCATTTGAGTACTTTCTACTGCTATGTCCTTTCTTCCACAGTACCTTATATTCTGTTATTCTCATGCATAATATTTTCCATTTCATTTGTAATATTTTTCATTTCTAAAAGTATCATTTCAGTCATTTTTATATCCTCCATTTCTCTCCTCATCATAGTCATATTTTGCTTAATATTTTTGAACTATTCATAAGAGGCATTTTAATGTCCTTGTCTGCTGCTTTAATTGTCACTGCCATCTCAGAGTGTGTCTCTATTGACTGTTTTTTCTCCTGTATATGGGTAATATTTTTCTGCTTCTTTGCATGCTGAGTAATTTTTGACTGGATAATTAACATTTTTAATTTTACATTGTTGGATGCTGAATTTTGTTCTTTAAGAAATGTTGGGTTTTGTTTCAGTGTGGAGTTAAATTATTTTGAATGATTAATAGTTGAATCTTTGCAAAGCTTGCTTTTAAGCATCATTAAGGTATGTTCAGAGAAGTCTTTATCCAGGGTAATTTAGCCTCACTGCTAAAGTGATAGTGTTGTTAGAACTCTATATGACACCCCATGTAGGATGAGGACTTTGTGATCTGGCTGGTGGGAATATAAACTCTTCACATTTCTGTGAGAGCTACAGAGGCTGTTCACCCTTCTCTCTTTTGATGTTTTCTTATTTTTTTCTCAGCCTCAGATAGTTTTCTTACAGATGTATGTAGGTCAGTACTCAGCAAAGACTCTCAGAACCTCCTTGCCAGTCTTTGAAGATTTCTCTCTGTGCAGCCCCCTCCTCTTTAGTACCTTTATCTTATATTATCCTCAGTTAAGGGAGGCTGTCATTTCAATCTGCTGGTGATGAATTCTCCCAGCTCCACTCTTGTGCTGCTTCCCTACTGCATCAGGATTCAGTGATGTCTTTAGTTATCTGTCCTCTAGGTAGCAATTTGATGAAGTTTTAGAGATTTTCTTTCTCTCTCTTTCTTTTCCTTCCTTCCTTCCTTCCTTCCTTCCTTCCTTCCTCTTTCTTTTCCTTCCTTCCTTCCTTCCTTCCTTCCTTCCTTCCTTCCTTCCTTCCTTCTTTGCTTCCTTCCTTCCTTCCTTGCTTCCTTCCTTCCTTCCTTGCTTCCTTCCTTCCTCTCTCTCTCTTCCTTTTCTTCCTTCCTTCCTTCCTTCCTTCCTTCCTTCCTTCCTTCCTTCCTTCCTTCCTTCCTTCCTTCATTTCTTTCTTTCTCTCCTTCCTTCCTTCCTTCCTTCCTTCCTTCCTTCCTTCCTTCCTTCCTTCCTTCCTTCCTTCCTTCTTTCCTTCCTTGTATCGCCACCCTATACTTCCAGCTGTCCAGTGTTTAAATCCCTTGTTTCACATAGTTTGTCCAGTTTAGCTTTTCTTTTAGTGTCAAAGGGCAGGTACATCTAGTCCCTTTTATTCTACATTGGTCAGAGAAAATATTGTACAGCTACTTTCTAATCTAAAGTTAAATCCATTCAAAAACTATGACCCAGAAATTAGCCTTCTAGATAATTTCTCAGAATAAATGAAATTTATGCCCACAAAAATACTTTTATTAGAATTTTCATAGTATCTTCATTCATAATGGCACCAAACTGGAAAGTACTCAAATTCCAATCAACATGAAAATGTATAAACAATTTATGATATATTAATACAAGGAATTACTCAATGACAACAAGAAATAACTTGTACTCACAAAATAACAAGAATGAGTGTCACAGATACTATTCTGAGTAAAGCAGGATACAAAATACTACCTAACCTATGATTGCATTTATGTGACGTTCAATAGCAGGCAAAACTAAGCTATGTGAAAAAAGATAAAAAAAATATTGTTTCTGAAAGTGGAGATTAAGTGAAAAGGGACACAGGGAATGTTCTTGTGAGATGCAAATGTTCTTTACCTTTATAGAGGTGTGGGTTATAAGTTTTTGTCAAAATTAATGAAATTTTGAATTTAAAATGTATATTTTATTTTATACAAACATTCCCTTAAAAAGAACTATAAATGGATAATAATTTTTTAGTTATTAGGATTGCTTTGCACAGTCAGAGGAGCTAGCAATTCTAAATTTATTTTCTGTATAGTCTACTCTTGGGAAAATTATTAACTATATTGAGGATAATGAGAGACAGGTTTTTCATTGTTGGAGAAGAAATTTGCAAATTTAGAAAGAAGGAAGACTATACTCTGTGGTATTAGATCATATTTGTAGGTATCAGAATAAATCTATGGTTTTATATTTCTATAAGTGTATATATAGATTTATATTTCTATAAATAGATACAGCTATATCTATATAGGCACTCTCTTTGCTGAAGAAGTAATGACATACCAATATGACTGACAAAGACCTAGCACTCATCTTAGTTTCTAAACATGATGCTCCAGTAAAAGAAAAATGGTTTCCTTGGAGTAAAAATATGATTTGAGGACTAGGGTAGGAAAAGTGCAAGATGATCCTAGAATATCATATCAAGCCAGAAAATCAGGAAGTACTTAAAGAATGATGAGCAATGGAGCTATGTCAAAAGGATACAGGATAGAGTTTCATGAGTCTCCTACTGGTCAAATATCAAACAATTTGATCATCCAAATAAATGTCAATGGGAATGGATTATATAGACTATGGTGTACTAGTAAACTGGCTCTCTATAATGAAAAAATGTTTTTAAATCCCTGGTTGGTGGTATTTGCTGATCTCTACAGAATAAATACTCCTTTTATGGGCAATTTTAAGCTACCTATATGGCACCGAACACAGATTTAAGAAGGCTTGTCTATAATTAGTTTTTATTTATAAGTGAGCTGGCTACAACACACCATTAAATATACTACAGAATAAAATGAGGATACATAAATTTATACATATATCAAGGAATGATTAAATCACCTCATGGGGGAGAAGGGAAAGCTCTTGCTAACAGTAAAATTTTAACTAACATAGAAGGAATAATGGAATAGAATATAGTCCATGGGTGCCAAAACTAGCAAGGAAAGTTTTCATGAAGAGCTCTAAATGCACACAATCTGAAAAAATGACTCCACCAATTATTTAGTAATTGCAAAGTGAAAAATGGTGCCTTTGCCATGGAGAAATCTAATGGATACCACTTTAACTGAATAGTCAATATCATCATCTTCAGCACTGGGATGAACTGGCATCATGTGTCTCCCATTAGGATGAGCTGAGTAGGACCAGTATCACTTCTCTGCCACACCTTCTCTGCCCCATCAGTCAGGATTCTCCAGAGGAACAGGATCAACAGGAGGTATTTATATAGAGATTTATTTTAGGGAACTGGCTCATGTGGTTGTGGGGCTGGCAAGTACAAGTCTGTAGGGCAAGCCAGCAGGCGGGAAACTCTGACGGGATTCCTACATTACAGTTTTGAGGTTGAATTCCTCTTCTCCAGGCAAAGAGTTTTGCTCTTGGGTCTTTAACTGATTGTATGAGGCTCACTCATATTGTTGAGGTACTCACTTTTACTTAAAATCAACTGACTCTGGATGTGAACCACAACTACAAAATACTTTCACAGGAACATCTAGATTAGTGTTTACCTGACAACTATGCACCATAGCCTATCCAAGTTGATACATAAAATGTAACCATCACCTCTGCCAAAAATTCATAATCTGAAGCCAATTGTAAAAAAAAAAAAAATAGACAAATACAAATGGAGCATTTTATGAAATAAAGGCCTGTCGTCTTCAAAATGTCAAAGTAAAGGATAAAAAAGAAGAAAGACTAAGGATTTGATATGAAGTGGACAAAAGAAACATGACAATAACATATTACATAGGATTCTGGATTTTATCTGGTATTGCATGAAAGACGTTATTGGGACAATTGATGAAGTTAGATTACAGATTAGGTAATTTTCTAATTTTGACTATTTTGCTGTAGTTATATATGAGAAAGTCATCATTCTTAGGAAGTACTCACTGAGACAGCAAAGATGCGAGTGTACAGTATCTCCATTTCACTTTGTGTGGGCAGAATAATGGCCCCCAAATGATGTCTGAATCTTGGAACCTGCTAACATATTTTCTTACGTGACAGAAAGGACTTTTGTAGATGTGATTGGGGATCTTGAGATGAGGAAATTATCCTGGGTTATCATGGTGGGCCCAATGTCATCACAAGGCTCTTGCAAGTGGAAGAGGGAGGCAGGAGAGTCAGAGAAAAAGGAGATTAGAGATAGAAGCAGGGCTCAAAGTTACGCGAATGCTGGCTTTGAGATAGACATCAGTGAATACAGGCAGCCCTGGGAAGCCATAGATTCAGGCAGCCTCTGGAAGTTGGAAAAGGGAAGGAACTGATTCTCCCGGAGACCCTCCAGACAAATTGATGACATATTTTTAGCCCCAGAAATCCCATTTTGGACTTCTGAACTGCAGATAATAAGTTTGTGCTGTTTTAAGTCACTTTGTTTATGGTACTTTGTTACAGTAATAGAAAAATACTGTACTCTCAAATGATTTTGAAAATTAGGCATTTATTTGAGAGAATATTAAAACAAATGAAGCAGACACAAAACATCAGCAAATTATGGCTAAAACTCGCTAGGAGTTCCCTGTACTATTTCACATTTTCTTTGTTTAAATTAATATCAAAACAAAAAGTTATAGAAAAGGGACAAAAAAGGTCCATGGCTTTAAATATATTGATAATGAAGAGAGAGAGAAATATTTACACTTAAATTGATGGGATGTTTGAATCTGCTTCAAATAAACCAGGGAGGAGGAAAGTGGGGATGGGGTATGGACAGGGCCTTGGGTTAATGGTTGTTGGGAATGGATAATGTGTAAGAGTTTTGTCTTACACATTATAGTGTAATAGTACATATGTGTGCTATTTTGTCTGCTTTTACATGTGTTTCAGTTTCTTCTTAAGAAGTTAAAAAACAGGACCATTTTATCTAAAAATATATGGAATAGAAAATGATGCAATCCTAATATTTTATGTAACAATCAGTCTATCTGGGGAGTTAACAGCCTCTATTAGAAAAAAAATTGGCATAAGCTCTAACAGTCTAGTGTCATACCAGTTTAATATATTTTATTTACTTGAACAGACAAACCAGGAAACAAGAGGCCTTTCTCTGGGTAGGTCAGCCAGCAGACATTACCCTTTCTCTACTGTCAATGCTCCTCTGCAGTTTCTGCAGCTTGGTTTGCTTTTTGTTTATTTTTATAATTGTAGGCACTAACAAAAGTGTTTAGAGCACTCTGTTGAAAATAGCAGGATTTGAAGAAACTGGATGTCACTTAAAATATGATCCTTGGATAAACATCACATGCTGCTGGCCTTCTTACAAAATGAGTAAGCACTGACTGTGTCTCTCTCTGGCTGCCAAAGCCGCTTTGGTTTTCCTGGAGCCTTCTAGTTAGCAGGTAGTTTGAGGAGCCCATCGGGAAGGGAAAAATAGTATCCACTTGGATTACAATCTTCACTGGCTTCACCTGCCCCCCCCCCTTTTAAAATACATATATGAAAGAGTTAAGGATGTATTTCTAATGCAATTAAAAAGAATAAAAATTGTTCAGAGAATTAACCTAACTTTTTGCCCTTCCCCAATGAGATATACAAATGAGAGCACGAATTTCTTGGCCAGATCCAATGAATTTAAATTTTCCATTAGCATATAATGGGTTTAGACTATAAATCCCTTTGAGCGTGGGAATCAGTGAGGATAAAAAAACAACGCTGTGTATGTAAGCTATTGCTCACATAAGCTCGGATTGTTATTTTAGAATATACTGTGCCTGTAAAAAGAAAGATAATAAGTTTTATGTGTCAATATTTAAAGAAAAAAAAAAAAGCAAGATTTTTTTTTTTTAAAGCCGTTTCATCTCTGAGAGATTCAATGACCATGTTTGATGACAAGCCAGATGGCAGCGTTCTCTGGACCCGGTGCCAGGAAGCATGACAGGAGCCGCAATTTACCTTCCGCGGTGAGCCCGCCGCCGCAGCCCGCCACAGCTGCGGGCGAGCGGCGCTGCCGGTAGGTGCGCGCACAGTTGGTTCCCTCCCAATTTGGATGCAGCAGGTAAGAGGCTGAATCAGTACCCAGCAATTATGGAATTGGCATGTGCTGCATTGTTTACTCACAGTAATATTCCTACTGGACTTTATTAAAACACCATCTGTTGTCAGGGCAGACAAAGAATCCAAATAGAAAGACATAGCAAGACAGAGAGGAAGAGAAAATGAGAACGTGCATATGTGCGCTGCAGTCCTGCCACAGGATTTGGTTGCATTTCTAAGAGGCCACGTTTGATCCTGAGGGTTATCTTTTAACATGATATCCCCACTCTCCCGGATTTTTGTTTTGGGTTTCTGCTGCCAGCTAGGCCAAAACAATTTGTGGTCCAAATGAAGCTGGCTGTGTGCGAGTCGGGCTGGAATTGGAGGCAGGGAGTGCATGCGTATGGGTGGAGCCCAATCACATTAGCATTACTGCAAATTGAAACCAAAATGATGGAAAGTAAAGTCGTCCACTGAATGATGCTCAGAGTAAACTTCTGAGTTAATGTTTGGAATATAGGCTGAGTAATAAAGGATATCTGCCAATAATAATACCTTCAGGGCACAAGGAAAAGTGACCGTTTTTTTACAATCAGCTGTTTTCTCTCACTCTTTTTAATCCTGCAGATGGGGATCAGATATTTCTAATACACAGCTGGTCTCTACAAATGGCCAAGTGTAATTTTTCATACGCTCGCTTACAATTCCAGGTGAAATTAATTAGTCAGAATTCCTCATCAGATAATATACTAATAAAATGTGATGCAAGTAATTAAATATGCAAATACAAGAACGACAGCATTAAAACTGATAATGTCATTTCAATTCTACAAAAAGACATCTGTCTATTTGGAACTTTATTGCAAAACAAAACAAAAGCAAAACAAACTTTAAAATGAAAGTGTGAACAAGCCCAGATTCATGTGGCAAAATGAAAGATGTAGAAAAATGAATCTAAAACAAGCATTGAATACTTTCGGGGGAAAAAGGGTTGGCTCGGTTAAAGTATATATTTAAATATCATGCAGCAAATTAATTAGGGGCATTGAGGGAAGCCAAAGGGAAAGCTTGTGCAGTGTATGATGTCATTGTCTGCTTTGCCTGACACTCAGACCCTGGTATTTGTGCCAGTATATGAGCAGTCATTTTAATTTGCAGCAATGCTATTTACCACTTTGCAAGCCACACCAATATTTAAAGAGAATTCAAGGAATGAATGAAAAGAAACAGCTGCGACCCCTTCCACCTCATTGCCCATTTCATCTCTCACTCTCCTCTGTGCTGTCTTATTTATAGATATTTTATTGAGCAATGGATTGGGTTGGCAGCATTTAGTACACCAATGCCTGTTTGTTAAACACATCACAATTCCTTTTATCAATGTTCCCTTTCCTAAGTGTCTTTTGTAGAGAATGCCATGATTGACTGACTGTATATTGCATTGATATTTTTAATAGGCTTCAAAATGTATGAATATACCAATTATGTATTTTTTCCTAAAATTGAATTCATGATGGTTTTAAGGCTGTCCCTAATTTATGATTTGTAATTATTGATGATATTTTAATGTTTAATAAGGTATGTATGCCACAGGATCAGTTACTGTAAAGAATGTTGAAAAAAATAAAAAGGCACAATTCTTTCCCTCAGGGAGCTTAAGATTCAGTTGGGGAGCTGAGTTATATACTGAAACAATAGGAAAAAATATCAAGTTGCTAGTGGTGAATATTAACACAAGGAAGTGCAGGAATTAGGAAGCAGCAGCAACCAGGGAAGGAAACAAGATCTGGCTTACCTGTCTTGTGGAGGTTGGACAGATTAGGAATAGACAAAGAGGAAAGAGCAGAACATGCCAAGCGTAGAGGAAAATGGAGAAGCAGCCTTTGCAGATATATAAAAGCAGAAAAGAGGAAGAAGGTCTTTGGGAAACACTAACCTGGGTTTTGGCTCAGAGCAGCAAAGGCAATGATGATTTCATGAGAAACACTTTTCAAGAGCCCCCATGATTCCTGGTACCTTGTACAAGGAGACCAACCTTCTAGGGACCATGGTGAAGATTTTCATGAAGGAGGAAATAACAACATCTCTGAAAATAATTTTAGGCTCAATCAAATTTTGGTGTACAACATTGCCTGTAAAACAGGTTATATAAACATTTGAAGACAGAAGATTATCGAGAATGAATAAAATGGTGAATTGATTGTATTAACTGAAAAATGTGAATAATAAAAACCATGTTGCTGAACCTAAATGCCCTTGCTCTAAATCTGCCCCTGCTGTGTGGGAAGAATTTCGTTTAGATTCTACAGCAGCTATCTGAAGCCAAGCAAAAGAGGATGCCTACTTGGTGGTTACAATAAGCTGGGCTAGAACAAGTGAGCTCCACGCCTGGGGCTGCAGAATGATAGATGGCGAGCTTCAACGACGCTTGAGAGGAAGGAGCCGGAGGTCAAAGACAAAATAAAATAACTGTCTCGGTGTAAGGTCTGAGGGTGAAATCAAACCATGCACAGAATAAAAGTGTGCAAGGTCTGAAGCCAGGAAAGTTGGAATAGGTTCAGTGATGGGTGTGAGCTGGACACGTGAGTGGAAACGTGTTAGTAGTCAGTATAGAGTAGTTAGTAGAGTAGTTAGTAGTCAGTATAGAGTAGTTAGTAGAGTAGTTAGTAGTCAGTACATAGTAGTTAGTAGTCAGTAGAGAGGCTGTATTAGTCTGCTTCTGTTGCTATTTCAGCATACCCAAGACTGGGTAATTTATAAAGAAAGTAAATTTATTTCTTCCGGTTCTGGAGGCTGGGAAATCCAAGGTGAGGGCCGTCTCGCTGCACTGTGTTGCAGTGGAAGTCACAAGAGAGTGGAGCACGCCGCAGTGAGCATGAGGGGCCGACTCTTATCAGTAACCCACCCTGCGATAACTAACCCACTCCCTGCATAATGCCATCAATCCATTTATGAGGGCACAGCCCTCATGGCCTGATCACCTCTTAATGGTCCCACCACTTAATACCATCACAATGGCAATTAAATTAAAGTTCTCTTGGGGACATTCAAAGCATAGCAGAGGCCAGGAAAATTATGTGGCTATCTGAGCCCTGGCTTTGTGTGGTAAGAAGTAGTTGTCCAGGAAAGGAGGAAAGAAAAGCGGGAAATATATTGTCATTTTCCTGCATGGGATATATTCCAGTAATGTTTTCCCTTTCATTCTGATAGAAATGGATCCTACTTAAAATAAAAGCATGACTACATGTCACTGAGGTCTTTAAATTACATCACTATTAACTTCATTATCAGAAAAAGTTGATGCATAGCTATCTACATGGAATAATTAGAGAGTTTGAAAGAGGTTATTTATTTATTTATTTATGGTAAAATATTACCCAACAACTGTTTCTACAAGGAGCTATTTAGCCTGTCCCTACACCTCATTTTCTCCAGTACTTCCTATTTCTAATGCTTCTTTGCTGGGAATCTCTATGGAAATAAGCTACTGGCTTAAGGATTGTGCTTGGAGACGAGTCAGAAATATCTCCTTGACCTTTCGCCACTGTGGTTGTTCCTTCCCTCCACCATGCCAAATGCGGGTCTCCTCCTCTGCAGCTGGTGTTTTCACACATGGACCATTGGCTTCTGGCATTCATTTAAAACAAATGTATTCGTTAAAATGTCTGAGATTTTGTGGAAGATAGCTACGCAAACAATCTGGAACATTCTGTCTGAAATAATTTCACCAATGGCAACAATTCCTTACACACATGTACATGTGCACAAACACTGCCTTGAGATTTTTAGCCTTTGGTCAAGAACAAAACAGAATCCACAAATGTAACAGGGTCATCTCTGGTCCCCAGCTGTGCTGCAGAGTAGCCCAGATTGTATGGGAGTGACTGCCCTAGGCTGCCATCACCCATATTCCCCTGTCACTGTAGGTCTGGCTGGCTCCCCTAGGTAAAAAGTTTTGGAAATAGTGGAATCAAAATATCCTGAGGTGCGTGTTTATACCAGAGAATAGAAAGTTGAGAGAGCCTCTAGGGAAGCTTTTCATGGTGCTTTATATCTTGAAATGCTGAAGACATCTCCTCTTCCTATAAGGCTGGGCCCCAGGAGGTGAAGCAGGACGTTGGCATTACACAAATACAGCCAGGAAGAATGTCACTGGAGGCTTTCCACAGGCACTCCTTGTTGTGTTGAGATGCCGAGAGCTGCTAAACACAGAATCTTCCTTCTTTTTGTTTTCTCGTTTTATGAAGGTATAATAAGTATCTGGGGAAAGGACTTCCACAGTCTCTCAGTACAGGGATGCTCAATTGAAATATCTGGTGTTGCTGTGCTGATTGGTGGCAAAGTCTAACACTGCAGCACAGACGATCAAGGAGCAGATCACCTGTCATAAAGACCAAGTGTCCAGGAAGCTCCTCACTGGAGAGATGCTCAGAAGTGAGTGATAGCTTCTAGAAGAAGTTTTCAGACAGAATTATAAAGAATTAGAATATGTCTTTATATTGCACAGGCACCACTAATAAAACTTCTATTTCTGGAATTGCCAAAATACTGTAGCAAGGAATAGGCTCTAGTTATCTTCCAGATAAGTTATGTATATGATGAACATAAGGGAGTTTTCCAGCTGCTGGGGTAGGAGCTGAGACATGAGTCTCTGTATCTTGGGTTGCTGGAGAGAATGAAGAACTCCTGGAGAGGACTGGGAAAACAGTCTTTCGAAACAGGCTCATTCACATACTCCAAGACATAAGCAAGAACCTTAGAACATGATGTTACAAGGTGAGAAAGAAGAGGATTATTCATAGTGCCTGGAGACTGCCTGTTAAGGAGTATGGAACTGGTTTTATGTAGACTGGCATGGCTAATCCAGAGATAAGCCAAGTCTTGGGGGCATTTCTGATAGAGAGACATCTTAAACCTAATAAAGCAATTCTTACGTTGGGTAAGTTGTATAAAGAGAACCAGGAGTGTGTCTCTAGTGACT